AATTGGCTGGTTCGGAAGTGTTACCCTCTATTAGGCTCCTAAGTCCGTGAGAGCCAGGAAAATATTGTTGACATTAAGCTGAAACACTCAAAAGCCAGCGGATAAGATCAGTTTCTTAGACAACTGTAGCAATTTTCACAAGCCTCTCCAAATAAAATAAAAATAAAATAAATTTCAAATAAATTTATATGAATTTTGCTAAATTTTAACACGAATCCTGCATTCCCAAGTCAAGTAACATTATCCATCCATCAAATTTTCTTAACTGTCATATTTACAGACCTCATGTAAACCTGCGACCACACAAAAGGCCACACCATCTTGGTCTTCATACCTTATTTATAATATTCTGGATATGCATTTGCATTACAATTTAAAAAATTTTATGACAAGTGAATGTCATCCTTCTCAATTTACTCAGAAACTCTTTGAAAATCGCTTTTATTTTAAACATATTGAGAAAATAGTTGTATACTATGTAATTTGTACTCAAACTGTCGTATTTCAAAGATACTATAAGTCCTCGTTTTGTTTATGTCCAGAAAATCAAAGCCTCAAAACGCGATTGCTTTGAGTGACAAGTATAGAAGACGCCAGGTTGCTTAAACCAATAAAAATATAAGTTAAAAGCCTATTAAACTACAGGCCAGCTATACACTTTCAGTGTCTTTTACTATTCACTATTTGACTCTGGTTACGCGCAAGCACAAAGCAACCCTGATGCGAATATTGGGCGTCTTGACCGATTTTATGTATATCGTTACCAAGTGACTCATCTGGAGAGAATATTCCAGTAGATGCCCAAAGGTGCCCGAACAACAGACCCATCCGGGCTGGGCACCTTTTTGATTACCGTTTTTACGACAGTGGCCAGCGAAGTAAGCAGGTCAAGTTGGTAATAAGACTGGCTAGCCCATAAGCCATACAAGCAGATGATGGTGCTTGTTTAGACTTGGGGGTTTGAGTCGTGCCAGACACGTCTCAGGTAATCCATATGACCAACGGAAGTGGAATTGCACAAGAAGCAGCTTCGTTTCTCCCTCTTTGTTGTCTTACCGATTACATGCTTGTCCAGGGCCACTTTTATTGAATGTCATAACCTCAAGAGTTGGTGACATCTAAGTTCGTGTATTTTGATGTCGCAACAACTAGTGACTCTCACAGATCGGTTTCACAGCTTGGTAGAGATTCTGAAAAATTCTCGAAAACCTATGATAGCATCCATACCTCCATATATTACCTCTCGTTTCTTGTTGATCTTCAGCTGTGGCTTGAGACAGAGGCAGTTACGGCGTTGCATTGGCTATCTACAGCAAGGGTGTTTACCAGTCGTCCGACTAAAAGCATGGAATATAAATGGTGCAGCCTGTTAGCCCAGTACAAAACACGAGGTCTTAAGTAAAGAGTCGCATTTTATTTCTTACTTGTTGCTAAGATGATGTTGCTAAGATGTCCCATTATCAAGCGGCCTAAAAAGACAACCATCCCTACAACATTTATCCGTTAAGATGGTCCACCCGTTCCGGTATTTGGGCTTGGTGAGTTATCGTAAAATATGGTGTCTTACTCTGAAGATGTCCATCACATGACGGACGTAAGCTCAGCAAGGATTCATCGGGGTTGCGGGACGGTGAGCCGAGAACTTATTCGCACAAATCTACAAACACAGTCCCATGGCAACCCCATTTCGGTTTCCGGTGAGGAGAACTTATGAATCTTTTGTACTTGCCTATGCAAATGAAATGAAAGTCATTCCAACACAGCTTTATTTATATAAATATAGTTCGAAGCTATCATTAGATCTTGCATAAGAGCTGTATTCACTCTTGGTCACATACAGGATGGAGGACTGACAGTTGACTTTTCTCATAATGATATGAATAGACCTCACGTTTCCATTAAATTCTTTTTGGTCTTGATTCCTGTAAGGTATTTTTATCCAGAATAGTTTGGACTGTAGTTCCGAGATAGCCTGGGTTCTATCTGCACTCCAACGAAAATCGAACTCCCACGTCTATCATCTGACAGACGTAGGCTCCTTATTATAATAGATTTCATAACTTCTATTTTGACCCCATAAGTGTGGTTGGAAAATAAATTCGAAATGGAGCCTGCGTTTGTGGGTTTCCTATACTCATCTCTACCTAATTTGGTTCCCTCTTTGCTAACTATGATATCTAGAAAAGGTAAACCACTTTTTTTCCAATTAGATGTTGAATTTCGCCTTTCTGTCCAGTATGTTCAGCAAGCCGAAAAAATTATATATTTTTCTTTGCCATGCTGCCCAAAGGCAAATTAGTCGTCCATATAGCAAGCCACTACTTAAGGTACAAAAAGTGCCTCTTGGATTATGTGCAATTATTTGCTAAAATTTGTGACAAACCCGATCCCATAGCTAAACATCGTGTTTATTCATATCTTTTACTATTTAAGGTAAAATATATACAATGCATAGCCAGATTCGTCGATATCATTAAGCACTCCACCTAAATTCCTACTTCCTCAAATCTCCGGGTGTCGGTTTAATGTTTATCATAGAGCCAGTGGCATAGTCTACATGAATGTTAGTATAGATAGACTCTACATCATAGCTTACAAGCAATTCCCTACAGTCTACCTCCTGCTCGTCTGCTACATTAATAAATTCATAAAAATTATTTGCTCAAATCCGCCATGCATCACACTTCCCTCATTGTTCAAAATAATTCAAAGTAGGACGCCTTTTTTATGTATTTAAGGGTCTGGCATCTCGTTGAAGAAGTGTGTTTATTTTCCACTTCTATAATTTTTCGTGTTTCCCAGAAAGTTGCAAGCAACCCTTGAGTCTAGACATAAGGGCTTCTGTAGGGTTACCATTTATGTGTCAATGTCATCTAGAGCCTGTATTATATTGTTAAATTACACCCTCAGAGAAGAAGTAAAACCAGATTACGCCAACCACTCTTAGCCCATAGTATTTCTCTGAATTATAACTAATAGTGTAAAGGTTAAACGAAGGAGTTTTTCGACAGGTAAGATACAGACATGATAAGAAATTTATGAATTTGGATATAAAGATCAGAAAAAAGGGTAATAAAAATAAATTAGGGGTAGATATTAGAGAGCAAAGTATACATGGTGGGAAGATGGTTTACTCTTTCTAGCTATTCTAGTTAGAAAAGAGGGAATCGAATTAGATAGAGATGTGTGTAAGAAATCTACAAACACAGGTTTCCTTTTGAATTTCGTTTCCAACCACATTTATGGAGTTAAATTAGGAGTTGTGAAATCCAAGTTAATAAGGAGCCTGCTTCTGGTAGATGTAGGTAGATTTCTGATTGAGAATACCTATCCACGAGGACCGATTTACAATTATTTTTATAATATTCTCAAATAGAATGGAGGGAAATGCGTATTTGGAGTCGGATAAAAGGCTAGACCATTACCAGCGCCTTTATGCTGTCATCATATAATCTCTCAAAGAAGTGGGGCATCAGGAATATTTATAAAGGGAAAATAACATTTTACTAGATAATGCCATCTTTTTGAGAATATTCTGATTCTCTTTCTAGATATGAAAGCTGTAACAGTTAGCGGAAAATTAGGAAATCTATAGAATTAACCAAAACTGCCAACACTCTGAATAGAAGGAATGAGTATAGGAAAGTAAGTGTCAACTACTCGTGGCCGTTAGCTAAGATTAGAGAGGGAGGGAACGGGACATACTTTCGAGCAAGAGGATGAGGCTTGGTTAGCCTCGAATCTGGTTCTGACTAACATTTGATGCAATTTAAAAGCCCACAGAACATGTGCAATTTGACGCATTCGCATGCGTCAACAATGCAGGATCAAAAAGATAAATGTTTTAGGGGAAGATGCAACTGTTCGGTCACAATTGTATCCGTTTCACGTTTAGTCAGCAGCCATTTCACATGACATCTTCAGTCACTTTACTTATCAGTAAACATTTAGGGAAAGCATAGGATCTTCAACCAAATCATGGGATGCCTCATTAAGTGGACACAGTTAGACTGTAAGAAGTAGGTAGAATTGCAGTCAGTCACTTTTCTTGTCTTTGTGCTTGGTGAATTATCGTAAGGCATGGTGACCTGCTCTAGCGATGTCCATCACACGACAAACGAAGGCTCAGCGAGGATTCATCGGGGTCGCAGGACTGTGCTCCGAGGACCTATCCGAAAAGTAAAAACTTCGAAGAAACCCCACTTCAGTTTCCGGTAAGGTCGACTTACGAATCGCTTCCATTTGCTTCTTCAAACGAAGTGAAAGGCACTCCAATATCAATCGTTTAAGGGATTTTTCGAAACACAATTTTTCTACATATATTAGCAAATGTTATGAAGAATTCATAAGAATCTCATCAAACAACCACAAACAAAGGACTTGGGCGAGCAAAATTAATATTGAGCTTTGATGTACAGCTAATAGATGCCAATATCGGAGGGGACACTCACGATTCTGCCTGGAATCTTGGAACAAGAATAAACCATGGAAGGAGAATGGATCTGGAGTCTCTAATAATATTGATCTACATGACAGTAGGAACCAATCACTTCACATTAAAAGGTCAGCTCTTGCCTCTTCAAACGAGATGAGAGGAGCTTCATCATCAATATATTAATGGATTTTTCGAAATCCAGTTCTTTTATATGCCTATTTTCCAGTGAATTTCCTTAGATTAACAAAGGCTTAAAGTACTTTTTTTATTGTAGCATAGCCTTCCTACCTCTATGTTTCTGAAACCTCTTTTATTAGATAATATTTATCTATAATTTATTTTAATTTACTCCTCCAACTCATTAATTTGTCACATTTCAATCTTTTGGTGTTACCAGCCGGCTAGCGTTTAATCACTTTCTCTAATAGTCCTTCTCTAATCTTTTACTATTTATTCTACCTTTTTGCTCTTTAATGCATGGACTTATTTCATGTACAGA